CGAGGTTGGCAGGTGCACGGGTGTACGCGGGTGCGCTGTAGAGGATCGAGACGCATGGGCGCTGGAGGCAACGCCTGAGGCACGGGACGACGGCACGAGCGGCACGGACATGAGGGGCGTGCGCGGCACTCGCACAGGTGGCAAGGACGTGCGGGATGTGGGCAGCAGTGGCGATGGGCGCGCGACGGCGCGCGAGTGCGTGGCAAGCGCGGGCGACCCAATCCTAACAGGCGTAGGAGTGCTGGGCGCGGGTATGCACGCGCAAGCTCGACGCGGCAAGGGGGAAGCGCGCGCGACAGCGTGCACGCATGAAGACCGCGCGCAAGACGCCGAGTCCGCCGAGGACTAGGACTCGCGAACGCGCGCGCATGCGAGGTGGCCGAGAGTAATTGGGGCGGCAACTTGGAAGTTCTAGAATTGCTTGGTGTGCAAGCCAAGCATTAGTATTTTGGTAGTAGTATGATTTTATTGCTTTCTAGTATTAGGATTTCTATTATTGCAAGATTTAGGAGATCTACTTTATTTAGGCTTAGATTTATTTTATGCACCTATAAATACCCCATGTACTCTTCACAATTAAAAGAGTTGAATGTTGAGTCTTGAATTGGTGAGCCAATTGTGAGGGGGAACTGTTGTTCTTACGTGTGTTTAAACAAGGCCGTTAGTGTGTGTTTACATACAATATCGGAGAGAAGGCCATTAGAGCGTCTTGAAGTCACGGTGTCTAGGAGAAGACCGAAGTGCGTCTGTTAGATACACCTATCGTGGATAAACGAAGGCCCTAGTGCGCGTTTATTCACAACCCGAGTATAGATAAAAACACGATCCGTCATCATTGGTGCTTTCATTGAGAGGTGCTGATCGTATTTTTATCTATCTATCTATCTTTTCTTTTTTTCGGTTTCGCCTTTTGCTGAGGGGACCGAATTTTGTTCTTTTTGGTTCGAAATTTTCGAATTTTCTATTCAAATTTTTTTCAATTTTTCTCGAAAGTCTTAAAAAAAAGTGTCATCTTGTTAGTCCTTTGTTTGATTTTTTGTTTCGGTTATTACCTTTTGTTGAGGGACCAAATTTCTCTTTGTTTTCTGAAATTTTTGGTTCGAATTATTTTCGAATTTAAAGAGTCAGAAAAAAAAAAAGAATCATGATGTTTGAGCCATTAGTTGAGTTGGATTGGGAGGATCTCGAATACCTTGAAGGTTTGGAGAGGAAATTAACCCCTTCGGAGCAAGAGTATTTGGAGGAGATGAACGAGCAAAAGGAGGAGTATGAAAGACAACTCAGGATCATGGAGGAAGGGCAACAAGTCGAGGCCGATGAGGAATTCCCAGAATCGTGCGGGCAAGAAGCCGAAGTGGTCGAGGTCAAGGAAGAGATCTTGCTCATGGTCGAAGAGGGAATTGGCGAGAAGATGAGCGTGGAGGACAAAGTAATCGATGTTGCGAGCGAGATCATGGTCGAAGAGATGTTCGAAGTTGAGATCTTGGCCGTGGCCGACGAGGGCCATGACTAGACGCGTAGGAGGTACAATATGGATGAAGGGGACGCGACGTTCCAACTTGAGATCGAAGAAGGAGAGCCCGATGTTTGGATGGTCAAGGATGAATCCTTGAGGACAAGGAAAGTCTCGAAGAAGAGGGGAATAATACGGAAGTGGGTTCCGGACCCCTGTGACAAAAAAGGCCATGAGTCGAGACGACCCGATAAGGCTGATAATGGGGCCAAAATGACGCAGGCATGGCCTAAGAGACGGATACGAGCTCGTATGCGGAGCACTCGAGCACGTGAGAAGTGGCACGTACAAGGCAGTAAACAAAGGCGCGCACACGCGCATTGGCGTAAACGCGCATGGAGCTTGGAGAATAGGCGAAGTGGCGCGCAGGGGGAGGTTGTTGGGTGGATGGCGCGCGAGGGGGATTGCTATGGGCCAATGAACGGATCTGCGAGTACATGCGAGGTTGGCAGGTGCACGGGTGTACGCGGGTGCGCGGTAGAGGATCGAGACGCATGGGCGCTGGAGGCGACGCCTGAGGCACGGGACGACGGCACGAGTGGCACGAACATGAGGGGCGTGCGCGGCACTCGCACAGGTGGCAAGGACGTGCGGGATGTGGGCAACAATGGCGATGGGCGCGCGACGGCGCGCGAGTGCGGGGCAAGCGCGGGCGACCCAATCCTAACAGGCGTAGGAGTGCTGGGCGCGGGTATGCACGCGCAAGCTCGACGCGGCAAGGGGGAAGCGCGCGCGACAGCGTGCACGTATGAAGACCGCGCGCAAGACGCCGAGTCCGCCGAGGACTAGGACTCGCGAACGCGCGCGCATGCGAGGCGGCCGAGAGTAATTGGGGCGGCAACTTGGAAGTTCTAGAATTGCTTGGTGTGCAAGCCAAGCATTAGTATTTTGGTAGTAGTATGATTTTATTGCTTTCTAGTATTAGGATTTCTATTATTGCAAGATTTAGGAGATCTATTTTATTTAGGCTTAGATTTATTTTATGCACCTATAAGTACCCCATGTACTCTTCACAATTAAAAGAGTTGAATGTTGAGTCTTGAATTGGTGAGCCAATTGTGAGGGGGAACTGTTGTTCTTACGTGTGTTTAAACAAGGCCGTTAGTGCGTGTTTACATACAGTGTCGGAGAGAAGGCCATTAGAGCGTCTTGAAGCCACGGTGTCTAGGAGAAGGCCGAAGTGCGTCTGTTAGATACACCTATCGTGGATAAACGAAGGCCCTAGTGCGTGTTTATTCACAACCCGAGTATAGATAAAATCACGATCCGTCATCATTGGTGCTTTCATTGAGAGGTGCTGATCGTAGTTTTATCTATCTATCTTTTCTTTTTTTTCGGTTTTGCCTTTTGCTGAGGGGACCGAATTTTGTTCTTTTTGGTTCGAAATTTTCAAATTTTCTATTCGAATTTTTTTCAATTTTTTTCGAAAGTCTTAAAAAAAAGTGTCATCTTGTTAGTCCTTTGTTTGATTTTTTGTTTCGGTTATTACCTTTTGTTGAGGGACCAAATTTCTCTTTGTTTTCTGAAATTTTTGGTTCGAATTATTTTCGAATTTAAAGAGTCAGAAAAAAAAAGAGAATCATGATGTTTGAGCCATTAGTTGAGTTGGATTGGGAGGATCTCGAATACCTTGAAGATTTGGAGAGGGAATTAACCCCTTGGGAGCAAGAGTATTTGGAGGAGATGTACGAGCAAAAGGAGGAGTATGAAAGACAACTCAGGATCATGGAGGAAGGGCAACAAGTCGAGGCCGATGAAGAATTCCCAGAATCGTGCGAGCAAGAAGCCGAAGTGGTCGAGGTCAAGGAAGAGATCTTGCTCATGGTCGAAGAGGGAATTGGCGAGAAGATGAGCGTGGAGGACAAAGTAATCGATGTTGCAAGCGAGATCATGGCCGAAGAGATGTTCGAAGTTGAGATCTTGGCCGTGGCCGACGAGGGCCATGACAAGACGCGTAGGAGGTACAATACGGATGAAGGGGACGCGACGTTCCAACTTGAGATCGAAGAAGGAGAGCCCAATGTTTGGATGGTCGAGGATGAATCCTTGAGGACAAGGAAAGTCTCGAAGAGGAGGGGAATGATACGGAAGTGGGTTCCGGACCCCTGTGACAAAAAAGGCCAAGAGTCGAGACGACCCGATAAGGCTGATAATGGGGCCAAAACGACGCACGCATGGCCTAAGTGACGGATACGAGCTCGTATGTGGGGCACTCGAGCACGTGAGAAGTGGCACGTACAAGGCAGTATACAAAGGCGCGCACACGCGCATTGGCGTAGACGCGCATGGCGCTTGGAGAATAGGCGAAGTGGCGCGCAGGGGGAGGTTGTTGGGTGGATGGCGCGCGAGGGAGATTGCTATGGGCCAATGAACGGATGTGCGAGTACATGCGAGGTTAGCAGGTGCACGGGTTTATGCGGGTGCGTGGTAGAGGATCGGGACACATGGGCGATGGAGGCGACGCGCGAGGCACGGGACGACGGCACGAGCGGCACGGACATGAGGGGCGTGCGCGGCACTCGCACATGTGGCAAGGACGCGCGGGATGTGGGCAGCAGTGGCGATGGGCGCGCGACGGCTCGCGAGTGCGGGGCAAGCGCGGGCGACCCAATCCTAACAGGCGTAGGAGTGCTGGGCGCGGGTATGCACGCGCAAGCTGGACACGGCAAGGGGGAAGCGCGCGCGACAGCGTGCGCGTATGAAGACCGCGCGCAAGACGTCGAGTCCGCCGAGGACTAGGACTCGCGAACGCGCACGCATGCGAGGCGACCTAGAGTAATTGGGGCGGCAACTTGGAAGTTCTAGAATTGCTTGGTGTGCAAGCCAAGCATTTGTATTTTGGTAGTAGCAGGATTTTATTGCTTTTAAGTATTAGGATTTCTATTATTGCAAGATTTAGGAGATCTAGTTTATTTAGGCTTAGTTTTATTTTATGCACCTATAAATACCCCATGTACTCTTCACAATTAAAAGAGTTGTATGTTGAGTCTTGAATTGGTGAGCCAATTGTGAGGGAGAACTGTTGTTCTTACGTGTGTTTAAACAAGGCCGTTAGTGTGTGTTTACGTACAGTGTCGGAGAGAAGGCCATTAGAGCGTCTTGAAGTCACGGTGTCTAGGAGAATGCCGAAGTGCGTCTGTTAGATACACCTATCGTGGATAAACGAAGGCCCTAGTGCGCGTTTATTCACAACCCGAGTGATAAAAACACGATCCGTCATCATATGCCTACCGCGTAGGTAGCATCCACTCATTGGTGATGTTTATATATTTAAAAAATACATCACTAATGAATGCATGTCATCTATGTCCACGTGGGTAGGTGAGCCCCTACACAAAAAATAGTACTATTGAGATAGTCTCGAGTTTGAGTCATAAGGGACCCTTGTTTCGTTTCTCTTTAGGTTTCAAAATCCCTCTTTTGGTCACTCCATCATCCTAACAAGAGCATCCCGACACACCTCCTCGTGAGAATAAGAGGCGGCGACATGAGGAAAACATCCGGCAACGGTGGAGAAAACCTTCGTCGTCTTCGTTTCGACGTTGAGTCTGCCATGAAGAAGCACTCAACCGTCGAAGAACTGGTGGAGCACCTCTTCTCCCAGCCCCTCTACAACCGCTGCAAGCGGCGTCCGTTCGCCAAAAGCGTCGAGAGAATTTTTGAGGTTTTGAGACGAAGAAACAACGCCGTGGATGGGTCCGACGGCGGCAGGGGGACTCCTGTTGCGAATAAACGAAGAAAAGCAAACGAGGTGCCGAGACGCAGCTGGCCGTTGTCCTCTGAGGCCTCCGCCAGTTCTTCAGATCCAGCTGCGCCGTCCTCCAACGAAGAGGCGTCCTCGGCCATGGATGCCATCTACGAGGAGAAATTCGAGCCGGACGTTGACCTGACTAGGTCGCTGATGCGGGAGAAGCTGTGTAAGAAGTCTCAGGAATCACGCAGCAGAGGAAAGGTTGAGCAAGTCATGGAAGTTGAGATACTAGATGACAAGGTGCAATTGATGAATGAGCTAGGTAAATTATCTGGAGGTGGTCAGAGTAACATTAGTGGTGGTTCCAAAGGTGGAGGGGTTTCTGGTGAGGAGATTAGTAAGCGTATGTTTAGGGATTTTGGGGGGATTGATGGAGCTATTGAGGAATTGAGGAGGAAGGTCCTTCTCCCCTTCTGTCATCCAGAGCTGCCTCGCAAGCTTGGAGTCAAACCAGTTACAGGGATTCTATTACACGGGCCACCCGGCTGCGGGAAAACTTCATTGGCTGAGGCTATTGCCAATGAAACTGAAGCCTCGTTTTACAGAATCTCTGCACCGGCATTGGTATCTGGAGTTTCTGGTACAGTTGCATTTTAACTTGGGATTACTTAAGTGTGAACGAAGAGAGAAAAAGCTGCGTTGTGTGTTGTGAGATTGCTAATGCAATTGGGCCGGGTTTACTTTTATCTTGATTGACGTTATAAATTTTTTGGGTATAACCTTGTTTCTATAGCTTATAATAAGAGCTCATGATGCCTGGGTCATTTCATAATGATTCAGAAAAATATCCAAAAGCCTTAAATTCTGTATCGGTTTGAACTTCTATCTAACCTATTAGGTATATGATTATCTTCTGAAAGTCGTAGATTGCAAGTAACAAGATGCCTGCAAATTCGTCAAAGATCGTGCTCTTTTATAAGTATGGCATTTTGTTGTAAGTGGATTGATTTACCCTGTTGCCAGTTTACCAATTTTGCCCACTACCAAACCCTGGCTGGTGAGATTTTAGGAAGAAGTTGTGTTTAGAAAATTCATAAACATCCTAGAAAACTTTCCAGCTTCTTTGAAATAGCTTTAGTATAAGAATTGCCACAACTTATATTGTTATTTAACAAGTTGGGAATCACATGCTGAATTGTTGTTATCTTAAAAGTCAAAATCTTGGGATTTCAATAGACCATAGTACCCAACTAGTGTTACCAATGGCGGATACGGAATTGGCGGCGGGCTGAAATCCGCCATAAAGGCCATCATAGCGACCTGTACCTCTGCCATAACCACCAGCCTTCACAAGTTTCTTATGGTTGGGCAGAACACTACCCAAACTTTTTTGTCTTATTAACGTGGGATCCCTAGATTTCTTTGCATGCATTGCTTAATGGAGCCTTGCATGGCTTTGTATTTTGTATGCCGTAGGATAATAGGTGATTTAAATAAAATTTGCAGATTTTTTTTTGATGACAGGTTTCGATGAACATAGGTCACTTTCCGAGTCCATTGTAGATTTAAAAGTGCCTCTTTAGGCTTCCTGTTCTCCTTTTCCTTTCTGAATGATTTTTCAGGTGTGTTTAAAGAAAACATTTGTGACTTATTCTCAAAAGCAGAGAGGACAGAGCCATTTATACGTAGGGTACTAGAGCATTTGACTTAGAATTTGCTGCTTTTGTTTGGTTATAGGTTTTCGACCACATAGTTCTCTTTTGTAGAGGATGCCTGTTGTAGACTTGAAATTACTTATGGGGTTTCCTATTCTTCTTTCCATTTCCAAACACTTTTTTAGGCGCGTCGGAAGAAAATATTCGTGATTTATTCTCAAAAGCGGAGAGGACCGCACCATCTATTGTGTTCATAGATGAAATTGACGCGGTTGCTGCTAAAAGAGAAAACTCTCGTGGAATGGAGCTCCGTATTGTGACACAGTTGATCACTTGCATGGACGAATCAAGCAAGCTCGCAAAACCTGCAGACCTAAGTGTTGGTTCTAGCAGCTCTGCTTCTAAATCTCATTATGTACTTGTGATTGGAGCAACCAACAGACCTGATGCCCTTGACCCCGCGTTGAGGAGGCCTGGACGATTTGACCGTGAAATTGCTTTAGGTGTTCCAGATGAATATGCGCGGATACAAATATTATCAAAGCTTACGTGCAATCTTAAAGTTGAAGGTGCTCTTGATATCTCGAAAATAGCGCGGTCCACTCCAGGGTTTGTTGGAGCAGATCTGGAAGCATTGTGTAACGAAGCTGGTTACCTTGCGATGAATAGAATCATGGATAAGAGAAAAATTGTGCTTTCCAAAGAGCACGAAAGTGTTTCTTGTGAAGAAATCTGGAGGTCTCCATTGTCAAATGAAGAATTGGAGCTTACCAGTATGACCGTTTCTGATTTTGAGGTAGCTAATATCCGTGTATATATTTCATATGCATAAACATAGAATTCCACTATGAATATGTTTCTGTACACTGTTAGTTCATAGTTTATCATTTTTCCTTGCTGCGCAGTGCTTAAACGTAACCAGTATCTTGCTAAAAGAACCATATTCCCATAATTGCATGGTAGGGCAAAATTGATTTCAGTGTGTCTTGTGTTCTGTGTTATGCAAATAATTCATTCTTTATCAGATTTACACCACATTAGCAGATCTGGGCAGTTCCCTTTGTTAGCGTCAAGATTTTATTTTTTTTCAAAATTAACACATACACTAAATACTTTCTAGGATAAACTTTGGCATTTACGTGGGGGTATATCTCAAGCTTCAGAAATCAGTATAGGCTGTGAACTTTTAAGAAATTCATTGCCACACAACCTTTGCTTTGACTATATAGAATAAAATTAAATAAGGAACTTGCCTTTGTAACTACAAAATGCTTCTCTGTTTTACTTCTGCTATTTGGAGTTCTGCATTACCCTTGTTTATTTTCAAGTTCGTGATTACTTTTTTGTCTGTTGGTGTTTGTGTATATAATTACTTCATTTAATTGTGAGCAGGAAGCTATTAAAATTATTCAACCTTGTTCTAAAAGGGAAGGATTTTCTGATGTGCCAAATGTGAAGTGGGATGATGTTGGAGGTCTTCATTCACTCAGAGAGGAGTTAGATCGTCATATTATTAAACCTTTAAGGTTTCCAGATGTTTATAAGGTAACTTGTTTCACTTTCAAATATTTTGAGCAAATGTACATGGAGGATATAAGCAGATCACTCGTGTTAATTCTGTTTTGATTTTGGCTTCTCTGTAAGTCCAAGCTTCTTAGTTATTGGAGATATAAAACTTACTGTTGAACATATACTTCTATTTTTAACTCGGAAAATGTTTAACCTAATTGGTGAGGGTTGATTTTTGTCAGCATTACAAAGTAGCTCTCAGTTTTTTTTTTTCTTTTTTTAAATATATATTTTTTTTTAAAGTGATTTCATTTACTTGTAGAGTCTTGGATTCAACTTGGAGACAGGCTTTTTGCTTTATGGTCCTCCTGGCTGTGGAAAGACCTTGATTGCCAAAGCGGTTGCTAGTGAGGCTGGAGCTAATTTCATGCATATAAAGGTTATCCATTGGATTGTATTATGCTATAACATAACTGCTGGTATCAATATAATGGGTTTCTCACCATCTTGGCTTTTTTCTACACTTAGGGCCCTGAACTTTTGAGCAAATACGTTGGTGAAAGTGAATTGGCCGTGCGGACAATTTTCAGTCGAGCAAGGACATGTTCTCCATGCATTCTTTTCTTTGATGAGGTACAACTTGTCTTTTATCTTGAGACCTTTAAATGCTTATGTGTAATGCTTCAGTTCTTTAGCAATGAATTCCAATGTTTGAAAATTAGCAGAGTTTACAATGAGAATTGAAACTAGTAGTAGAATGAGAGGATTAAATAGAGCGATTATATACCAGAGCATGAAGTGAAACCATTAATTCTTCTGGAAACGTACACAAGTGGAAGTTAGATATCATTTGTATTGCAAAAAGTTCGCAGAAAATTGTGTTTGGGAGAAATCCTTGTGGGCTCAACCGCCCAAGTAACTTTGTGAGTGAATTCAGGAGTAATTACTCTCTATACAGGGACTAAGAGTAAGAGTATTGAGATCCAAACTGAAAATACTGAAACTTAGAAACCTCAATAAATCTTAAAAAATAAATAAATAAATAAATAAATCTTATGACATACTCTAGAAATGAGAGCATCTGCAATGGTATGTTAATTGGAGAATTGTAGATACTTTGGGACAAAAACCTTCCTCCAACAGTGGCTTTTTAATTTCTTATTGTCATGATGTGGCATGAGAGAGAATCAAAAATTGTAGAAGCTTGTCTACATCTAAAAGTCCTTTTAGAACGGATGACTCCTTTTTTTTCGTCCTTTTTACTTCTTTTGTTTTCAATTAAAATCTATTATTACGTAAAAGAACACAAAATTACTTTATACAAAACATATACCAGATGAATTTGATAAAAAAAATACCAGATGAATACAAAAAAAAAAGAAAAATAATAACGAAGAATACAAAGAATACAAAGAATAAATATCAGTTGTTAAAAAAGTATCTTATAAAAAAATACCAGATGAATACAAAATAATAACAAAATAATAACAGATGAATGCAAAAAAATACAAGATGAATAAAAAATACTAGATGAATACAAAATAATAACAGATGAATACAGAAAAATACGAGATGAATATCAGTTGCGCTGTGGGTGGTAGTTCTTTAAAAAATAAATATACCTGATATAAAAAACTTGATGAATATCAATTGGGTTGTGGATGGTAGCTATTCAAAAAATAAAACACGTATATAAACATTTACTGTGTTTAGACATCTACCACTGGAGAGTGACATATCAACATGACATTCTATTTCTTCCACGTAGACCGGAAGACCGTCTATTCAATTGTTAATCCACTTCAACCATTGGAGATGCTCTGAAAATGTTATTTTCTACCAAGTATTTTCACCTTACTTGGTAGACATTTAATGTATATTTCATTTATATTTTAAATCCTGACTTTATTCACCCTGAATATATTACTTCATTCAACCATCAATTTATTTTTTTCCAACTAGAGCGTACGTGACTTACATGTTCTCAGTGTTCACTGTCTCGCTATCTTTATTTCAATTGACTGTTATCTTGTGTTTGTTATTTCCATGTATCCTTTTCAATCAGGTGGACTCACTGACAACAAGGCGCGGTAAAGAAGGGGGATGGGTTGTTGAAAGGCTCTTGAACCAGGTATGATGGATGATTTACTGATCTGTTGTCGTGTTACCTACACTCATTTTTCTTTACTTCTTTTAAATCCAAATACTTGCTGAATCCGACATCTTTCATTGCAGCTCCTTATAGAGCTGGATGGAGCGGGAAGGAGGAACGGTGTTTATGTAATTGGTGCTACAAATAGGTTAGCAAAATTACCTCGAGGCCCTTGTCCATTATTTTCGGACATCAATTGGCCTGTCTTTTTATCGACAATTCTCATCTTTATTTGACATATATTGGCAGACCAGATGTCATTGATCCTGCACTGCTCAGATCTGGAAGGTTAGGGAAGCTTCTATACGTCCCTTTACCTAGCCCCGACGAACGGGTGATGATCTTGAAAGCTCTTGCCCGGAATAAATTGCTAGATGCTGATGTGGACCTCATGGCCATAGGGACAGATGTGGCCTGTGAAAGTTTTAGTGGTGCTGATCTTTCTGCTTTGGTATGCCTTTTTTTGTTCCTACCTTTTAATCTTTTCATAATCATCCTTCCAGGTAATCAATTTTTTTCAAAATGTGGTTTAATATGCAGACAAACATACACGCAAACTACTCTTGGAAGAACTGATTTATGTTATTTGTTGATAGTTTCGAATTTTTCATTTTCTGGAATTCAAAGATCGAATCTTACCAGTAAATTCCTCTAATAAACCACAGATGAATGAAGCTGTACTGGCTGCTGTCGAGGAAATACCACTGACTAGAAGTTCCGGTGTACCATTGGCCATCAAAGCCACACATTTCAAGAAAGCATTGGAGAAAATCTCTCCATCTGTTTCAAATGAGGTGAATTTTGGTTTCTCTACTGATATATTGTGCTAATTTAGGCCAAAGGCTTGCAAACCTGTTTGTTGTTACTCACCTCATATATATATTTTTTTTGGTATTTCTTGCTGCAGCAAATAGAATATTACAAACTTCTGTCGAAGAGATTTAAAGCTTCTCGAGGGTAGGGGGAATTCGCCGTGTGCTCTCTGAGGAGATTGTTTAGCAAATGTGCGTTTTGTCTTCTATTAATTTTTTATATTGATTTTTTTCTGTAAAAGTCCATTTATTTTCCTTTTTTTTTTTGAAATCTCCAACAATCCATTTACTGCCCGATTGCTTTTATGTTCCTTCTCTTCTGTTTATATCCTAGATCATGATACAATGAAAACCGTTGATATAACACTCAGATTACCTCGATGAACTACCCAAGAGTGGTTAGCTTGGGGGTGGATGAACCACTCAAGATTGCTTATAGCTTGGGAGTGGCCGGTTCGAGGGGGCTCAACCCATTTTTTCCAGATTATTGGAGCTCTGAGCTAGTGGCTGTTCGTGAGATCCTGTTTCAACCTGGATTGAGACGGTTTCCACATCAAGCGGCTGAAAATCGTTTTAGAACTTTATTTGGAGAGGGTGTTGAATTCATTTTGAACATCACAAAATTGAATATCAATATGACTATATGAGCATAACAGTATACGTTCTTGTATTTCTCTATTAGCTGGAATTAAAAAAACGTGACCATTTACTCAATAAAAATGATTAAATTAAAACATTTAAGTGAACAGATTCTATCAGCATTGCCCCAAAATCTATTTAACACAAAAGAAGCAGAATAATGATGGAGAGGAACATAAGGGTACAAGATAATAAAAATATTTTCATTAATTTAAGGTTGAAAGAACATACATGGACTATATATAATACGCTACACATAAAAGAATAACACACACAACTTGGTTTTCCCTGTTTTGTCATCACTATTCTCTTCAAAACAGTGATCTCTAACGTTAAATCAATCAAGCAGTAGCCATTTTGACAAACCAGTCATATTTTAATTAATTTTTTTCTCCCCTCTTAAATCGAAACGGTTACATACATACATACATGAATCGCATGATTTACGTATATATGCAGATAAAAGTAGCTAGGCTTCACATCGAGGATTTTATTTGATCATCCCCGCCCTTATTAGCCTCTAAATCTTGCTCCTCATCAAAAACCTCGATTATTTCAGATTCGGGTAGGAAGTTTAGAGTCACGGCCATCACGTTGCTGCCATGATTAAAACCCTTGAAGCTCTCTCCATCTTTGGTGCCTTCGCCATTTTCATCCGCTTCTGACGGCACAAGTCGAGTAATCTTCTTTACTTCCTTGCTTTTTCCCCACAACACCGAATATAACCCAAGTATTATTACTGCAGCTCCAAGCACGCTGTAAAAAATTATATACACGAAAACCAACATAAAATGAATATCAATTAGGACAAATGAGATGATCACCTAATTTTAAAGCAACTCATATTGAAAATATAGTATATTACCTTCCCAAGTGTAACGTCTCGTTCAGAAGCAAAGATCCTGCTAGTGCAACGAGCACGAGCAGCAAAGGATTGAAAACCGATACGAATAACGGCCCTCTCATCCTTACACATGACATGGTGAATACCCACATTATCCCTGATGCCATGATTCCCTACATAATTTTTTTTTTTTAACAATTTAAATGAAAACTTCAAATCTACCGTAAATTCTCATCTGATAGATGATCCAATATATGAGAATTATACCATGTAAGCAACTGTAAGAAGCCTAAGGTTCCACCCGAGTTTCCATTGGCTCCAATCCCTTTCGGTAGAAAGAGCAAACACAACGGTTTGAAATGATCCCATGATCGAGATTAAGGCCGTGCTCGAATAGTTGCATGGATATATCTCACTCATCTTCGTCTAAAGTAACAAATTATAGAAGCCAAAAGTTACAATCTTGCTATTAAGGAAGTTGCAAAAAGTTTTTTAACCATTCGATTGCATTAGCAGTTTGTAAATGAGCGTTTGCAAATGACGATTTGTATAGCTATTTTAAAACTTGATGATATAGTGTTATTTTTATAATTTCTACGCCAAAAATGCCGCTCTATTAGATTTTTTTTTCATAATTAGTATTTTCGGCCAAAAAATATTAATTTTTTTGATAGAATTTGATTGCTGAGATTTTGGACTTTTATTATTGTACTAGATTATGTTCATAATACTTGTCGTTTTGAGAAAAAAATTGCACAATAATTAAGATTTTTTTTTCCAATAATAATTCTTTTTAATAAAAATTGATAACGTGAAAATTAAGAGTGTATATTCTGAATGAAAATGCGTAGTGTATTTATTAGCTAATAAAAAATGTAATGAAAAAATATGTACAAAAGATTGAAAACGGCCATTTATTCGCTTAATGATTGATTCAAAAATATCATTTATTTTATTAATGATTGATAAAGTCAAAATAGCATTTAAAGAAAATAAAAAGTAGTATTATATTATTATAATTAAATTAAATAACTGTTTTGGAGGGTATTCATCACCTGAACGATTAATGAAAGCGATACAGAGATGCAACAAGCAAGCGCCAGCAGTGGGCCCATGATGTTATTAATGGGCTTGTGGTGGGCTGCTGCCACGTGTCCACCTGGTTGATGGTACTTGTGAAGAAGGTCAAAGTGGGCTGACCAAATCTTGACTTGGCAGCCCTTGTAGAAAGTCAAAACCATTGCGCCACCTATGCATAGCACTGTTCCCGCCACCTTTGCTTTGCCGGCCCTCGTCTTCAGCCCTAGTCTTTCCATCCTACTTATAAATAATAATCAGAATTTTGCAATGACAATCATTTACATTCTGATTAGTGCTGTTAAATTAAACGAGCCTGACTTGTCTCGACTTGAGTTTGGTTCGTTAAGGCTCGAGTTCGAGGCTTAACTAGTCGAGATCGAGCTCATTTAAAGCTCGTTGAGCTAACGAGCCGAGCTCGGCTAGCATCGGCTCGATAAGTTTGAAAAGAGAAATTTTATATAAGTTTTTATAGTTTAGTTCGTTAAAACTCGAGATCGGCTCGAGCTCGAGACCTTAACGAGCTGTGCTCGAGTTCGAACACCTTAAGCTCGGGCTCGGTTCTCTCGGCTCGTTTACAGCCCTGATATATGCATATAACTTTTTTTCTATTATAATTTCATAAAAAATTTAATAATATACCTAAAAAATATTGCTAGGACGAAAGTAACCGCGGGGATGAGATTGCTCATGGCTGCCGCAAATGTAGCTGACGTCAGCACTAAGCTCTCAGCGTACAAGTTTTGGGCTAGCGATCCCCTGCAATAATATTATATTATTAGTGTTCAAAATCATATTTTCTTTAATATAATCAAATTTCAAAAAGGAATATTTAATTCATATAAAAAAAGTTTATTTGATTTTATGATAAAAACAATATCTTATTCTAAATTGCCTAAATTATCATTTTTTATTTTTATTTTTTAGACCACGTTTTTGGTTCTTCCAAAATTAATTAATGAAAAGTTTCTTTGATTTGCTTTTTTTTTTTTAATTAAATTTTTTTTCCTTCAAATTTCGGGAAAGTGCGATGTAGCTAAAATAATCAAAGAAAAAAGCCGAATGAGACAATTCATTACGCAACTTAAATTATTATTATTATTATTATTATTATTATTATTATTATTATTATTATTATTATTATTATTATTATTATTATTATTATTATTATTATTATTATTATCATCATGTACTTACCCCAATAACGCACAGATAAATGCTTGGAAAGCAATCTTCCAAGTCAATTTTGGCCTGTTTTTCCTGCAATTTGTTGCTAACAAAAACTATCATCTAATGTATACGCAGAATTATGATAATTTCATTATAAGAAGGTAACAAAATTGCGAGTGAGACATTAGAGGAAAATCTATCTACAGTCCCATGTCGAAACCATTCTTTCGGAGTTTGTAATCGTTAAATCATCATGTAACCGTCGGAGATAGTTGATCTAACGGTTACAAACTCGATGAAATGGTTCCTTCACCGGACCGTAGCATCTCCCTGTCTTATAATAACCTCTGGAAACTGAAAATGGCCACTTTCAACTTCATCAACGTATACTACATACTGCAAATAAGTTGCCTTCTTATATTTGTAAGCCAACAAAAGAGAATCATCATCATTTCAAGAGAATAAGTAGAATAAATATTTGTTCCAAATTAGGACCAATAAAAATACTTCATTACTACTTTGCAATATAATAAAACATTACATATAATCATTTTTTTTTGGTTAAAAAAAAAACTTTCCTCTTATATATATTACCTTTCAAGCACAAGAGCAAGAGGAACGACAGTAGCAGCAGCAAACAAGAAACGATACGCGATCAAAACCCGCAAACTCAAACCATTATTTCCGGCCAATTTGTAGAAGATGTTAACTCCCGCCAACACTACTTGGACCGTCACCATCATCATCGTCGGCTTAAGCCCGTGTATCAGATCACAAAATTTTCCCATTTAATTTCCAGTGTATTAAATAAATAAAGAAAAAGAAAAAAAAAAAAAAGAATGGTAAAAATAATCCAAGGTGGTGAGTATATGTATATAGGTTGATTAACAATGTAGAGGAAAGTAGCTAGTGAAGGTGGCTGCACAACGTACGTGGAAATTAAATGGGAGTTGAATTATATTTATGGGAGATGCTACGGTCCCTACGGAAGCAGTTCGTCGGAATTTATAACTGTTAGATCAACTATTTCCGACGGTTACACAATAGTCCAACGGTTATAAATCCTGACAGAATGATTCCGTAAAGGGACCGTAGCATTTCTTATAGAGGTCTTTTGGGGAGTAATTTAATTTTGGGGTGAAAATGCATGGAAACATAGATATTAAGTGGGATTAAGAAAACGAGGTATTTGCTATTTTCCGACGTAAGCCATTTAAAGAGCAGAGTGCCGATGGAGAAATTGTGTTTGTAATTGTTTGTCTCATCTCCGTCTGGTCACCCCTAACGGTGCTCCGCACACACGTGGACTTCCTATAAATGTTTAATTTGGACTAACATGTAAGTATAAATTAAATGTGTATAGTTGTCGTAGTATAATTCAATTAAAGTGATCGACAAGTGTTGGTAGAGGTGGATAACAGTAGCGTTTGTCTCCATGGTGTTGGGGAACGAAGAGGACCTCGGGCTACATGCAACTATCGTTCATGCCATTCGCGCACTAATACGCCTGGAGTGGAGTGTTCGTTTGTCCCATATTTATAGGGAAGGAAATTTTGCAGCCGATTCCTTGGCTGCCCTAGCTGCCGGTGTTTCGGTAGGCGTTCATCGTCTTACAGCTCCACCGCAGGAACTCGGACATTGGTTGAGCCATAATCTATTAGAAGTGGCCCGCCCACGTCGTGTCTTATCTTAGACCTTAGGCCTCGGCCTCCTTCTTTGTACCAAAAAAAAAGTGATCTATTAATTTATAATTTAAATATAAAGAGTATCAAATTATTGTAGATATAAAAGTGTAGATACCACTGTTAGATATTGATTAAGTTTTGTCCCACATCGGATGTACACCAAAGATGTGTAGGATCTTATTAGTATAAATAGGTCCCTTGCCTTTGGGTTACAATTGCACCTTATTCTATTCTCTCATATTCAAAAGGAAATCCTATTTTGTGGGTTATTTAACCCTAGTTGTATTTTGTTGGTGAGTTTAGTAAATTTGGCGTTGCGGTTGGCGGTGCCCGGAGACGTAGGCTATTTTCGCCGAACTCCGTTATCAATTTTGTGTTTTTTCTTTCCCGTCTTTTATTTATTTGTGTTGGCTTATTTTTCGTTTTGGAGTAGTGCTTGCCATATTTGTTGGAGGGGTATTTTTGTCCGCTGCGTTTGTTGTGATACCCCAACAAGTAGTATCAGAGTCGAAGGTTCGTCCCAGGCTCATTCGGAGAGGCGAGCACCGCATTAGGGTTCGGGATGTCCTAGGAGGTCAAGGGCGCATCATCCTCTGCATTCATTTCGGCAAGGACGGTAATGCCGAACGTTAGACTCCCAGTGGAGATTTTCGACGGGACCAGTCATTTCGGCATGTGGCAAGGCGAGGTGCTGGATTGTTTATTTCAGCAAGGCGTCGACATTGCGATTGAAAAGGAGAAGCCAACAGACGTTGAAGAGAAGGACTGGAAGAATATCAACCGCTTATCATGTGGAACAATTCGTTCGTGTTTGTCGATGGAGCAGAAGTACGCGTTCAAGAATGAGAACTCTGCTCACACTTTGTGGAAGGCTTTGGAGGATAAATTTCTGAAGAAAAGCGGCCAGAATAAGCTCCTCATGAAGAAGCGATTGTTCCGTTTTGAGTACCGGCATGGCACATCGATGAATGATCACGTCACTGAAATTCAATCAGCTAGTTGCAAATTTGTTGAATTTGGACGTCACATTCATCGATGAAGATTTGGCTCTAATGTTGTTATCATCACTTCCAGACGACTTCGAGCACTTAGAGACTACTCTGCTCCATGAGAAGGACGATGTAACTATTGCAGTGGTCAGTTCTGCTCTGTATAGCTATGAGTAGTCTGGTGATGAAAGGTGATACGGTTGTTGGGATAGTAACAGTAGCAGATTCCACCAACAAGGAGTCTGAAGCAGTCAAGTTGTGGCATATGCATTTGGGACATGCTGGTGAAAAGTCCTTGCAAACATTGGCAAAACAAGGACTGTTGAAAGATGTCAAATTGTGCAAACTAGACTTTTGTGAGCACTGTGTTTTGGGAAAATAGAAGAGAGTGAAGTTTGGAACGGCTATCCATAATACTGAAGGAGTCTTGGATTATGTTCATTCGGACGTGTGGGGACCTTCTAAGACCCCATCATTAGGCGGAAGACGCTATTTTGTCACTTTCATCGATGACTTTTCCAGACGTGTTTAGGTGTACACTATGAAGACGAAGGATGAAGTGCTTGGTGTCTTTTGTGAGGTCCAAGGGCGGCGAATGCGACTACAGTGAAGGAAAAGATTCATTACATGGAAGACACAAATTGAGAACCAGACTGGAAGGAAGATCAAGGTCCTACGTACGGACAATGGTGGAGAATATACAAGCGATCCCTTTCAAGAAGTTTGCCGTAAAAATGGCATTGTTAGGCACTTCACCGTTAGACGGACACCACAACAAAATGGGTTGGCGGAGCGCATGAATCAAACATTGGTGGAGAAAGTTCGATGTATGTTGTCCAATGTTGGTTTGGGCAAGGAGTACTGGGCTGAGGCTGTAACATACGCGCAATACCTCATAAATCGTTTGCCGTCATCTGCAAAAGATGGTAAAACATCGTTGGAGGTATGGTCGGGGAAACTTGTTGCTGACTATGGATCTTTACATGTCTTTGGGTGTCCTACGTTCTATCATGTGAAGGATTCAAAGTTAGATCCAAGAGCGAAAATAGCTTTGTTCATAGGAATCAAAATTGGCGTAAAGAGATATTGTCTTTTGTGTCTTGAGACGAACCAAACTGTGTTTAGCAGGGATGTTACATTTGATGAACAAAGTATGATGAAGACTACGCAAACCCAACAGGTGGAGTTGACACTGAAGCAGGTGAAGATAGATGCGATGAAGAGACAACCAGCTATGATCGACGAAACAATATCAAACGATTCGTCAGATGATGAAGTTCAGGCTCAAGAATCGTTAGATTTACCCATTGCATTGAGAAAGCCCAGACGAGAGATTCAACAACCTGCTCGATTGGCGGATATGGTGGCTTATGTACTTCCAATTGTTGATGATGACATACCTTTCACTTTTCAAGATGCAATTCGAAGTTTAGAAAATGAGAAGTGGAAGTGGGCTATGGAGGAAGAAATGTTGTCCCTCCAGAAGAATCAAACTTAGAAGGTGACGCAACTACCAAAAGGTAAGAGGGCGATAGGATGCAAGTGGGTCTTTGCAAAGAAAGATGGATTTCCTCAGAAGAATGATGTGCGCTACAAGGCAAGGTTGGTGGCTAAAGGCTACGCTCAGAAGGAAGGAGTTGATTATAATGAAGTGTTTTCTCCAGTTGTTAAACACTCTTCCATTAGAATTTTGTTGGCCTTAGCAGCACAGTTGGATTTAGAGCTAGCTCAACTTGACGTGAAGGCGGCGTTCTTACACGGAGATTTGGATGAGGAAATCTACATGACTCAGCCAGAAGGATTCAAAATTCTTGGAAAAGAGAATTGGGTCTGTAAGTTGAACAAATCGTTGTACGGACTGAAGCAATCTCCGAGGCAGTGGTACAAATGGTTTGATAAGTTTATGATTGGGCAGAAGTACACGCGAAGCAAACATGATCATTGTGTGTATTTACGCAAGCTGCAAGATGGATCTTTTATTTATTTACTTACTCTTGTATGTGGATGACATGTTGGTTGCATCAAAGAGCCAAGTGGAGATTGATCAATTGAAGGCTCAGTTGAATCAAGAGTTTGAGATGAAAGACTTAGGGGAAGCTAAGAAGATACTCGGGATGGAGATAAGCAGGGACAGAATGAGAGGCAAGCTTTGTTTGACTCAAAAGCAATATCTGAATAAGGTACTACAACGTTTCGGCATAAAAGATGAGTCGAAGCCAGTAAGTACACCACTTTCCCCTCATTTGAAGTTAAGTGCCCAATTATCGCCAAATTGTGATGAAGAACGAGAGTACATGCCTAGAGTCCCATATGCAAATGCAGTTGGTAGTTTGATGTATGCGATGGTGTGTACAAGGCCCGAAATTTCACAAGCAGTTGGTGTTGTTAGCAGGTATATGCATGACCCTGGTAAAGTTCATTGGCAAGCTGTGAAATGGATTCTAAGGTACATTCATAGTACTGTAGACGTTGGATTGGTTTATGCGCAGAATGAATTTGGTCAGTGTGTAGTTGGATATTGTGATTCTGACTACGCGGGTGATTTGGATAAGTGAACATCAACGACTGGATATTTGTTCACTTTTGTAAAAGCTCCAGTCAGTTGGAAGTCTACCTTACAGTCAACAATTGCTTTGTCTACCTTACAGTCAGTTGGAAGTCTACCTTATTTTATTCTCTCATATTCAAAAGGAAATAATTAATTAAGGAAATCCTATTTTGTGGGTTATTTAACCCTAGTTGTATTTTGTTGGTGAGTTTAGTAAATTTGGCGTTGCGGTTGGCGGTGCCCGGAGACGTAGGCTATTTTCGTCGAACTCCGTTATCAATTTTTGCGTTTTTTCTTTCCCGTCTTTTATTTATTTGTGTTGGCTTATTTTTCGTTTTGGAGTAGTGCTTGCCATATTTGTTGGAGGGGTATTTTTGTCTGTTGCGTTTGTTGTGATACCCCAACAACCATTACGAGTTTTTAGTTTGTCGAGGGACCAAAATAATTACCTACCTGGTAGTGATCTCAAATGACATAAATGAATTGACAAATTTCAGAACATGTGTATTTCTCTTAAAAGGCACCATTGCAGTACAAGATATATATATATATATATATATGTATAC